AAAAAAGAAAAATCAGAAGATGCATCAGAGTGAACAGAATTTATAATCCCTATTTCATAAATATCACTGCTTATAGAACATCCAGTTATTTCTCTACTCTATGTGACTGTCATCCAATAAGGTCATAACCTCCCTCATGAAAAACAATGCTCAAAATAAACAAGAAAATATCAAAAGAAAGCTCTAAAGGCACTCAGTTAAAAGCAAATAGAAAGTGTCTTACTCTGTTACTCAGTACTTCGTATCCATTTATTTATTGATCTAAAGAAAACACTTCCAAAATATACTCAGAATAACTTCAATTCCCATCTCATTCAATGTCAGTAACTTCTGTCTATGAGATACAAGTTTAAGCCCTCCCAACAACACACTGCCTAGTTGTCATTAAAGGCTAAAGGAAATTGATATACTCACTCATCAAATAGAGGGAAACAAAAAAGCCACAAATCTAAACTCAATAAGATGAATTATCCAAAATATCACAGGGAAAATAAGAACAATACAATAACTAACCTTGTTTTCTCTGAGAGAATTGCGATGACACCAAAAAGAAAGAACATGAGAAGCATCCCTGAATGTTCAAAATCATTGAAGTGGGACGGATTCAATTCACCATTGACAAAAAACTTGAGGTGGGTTGAATACAGAAGCTCAATACACATGTCAATAAGAGCACCAATGGCAACAACATAAAGCTCCAAATACTTGAGCTTCCCATGAAAACCAGGAACTGGGTTCCACACCTGGACCCGAAAGGACTTGGGATTGGAAACATATCGAAACATAGCGCTCCATATATGCCACAAACCAACCGCAAGAAACAGTGATCCTGGTACAGCATGACCCTTGAAAGATCCCATCTTTTTGATAAAATATCTACCACCCTCCTAATCTTTAGCTTCAATTGACTATAATCTCTGCAGTTTCTACTTGTTTGCAAGGAATTTTCCTGTTTCGCAAGGAGGAAGTTCTAGTTCATGTCTGAATTTGATATCTTTATGGTGACTTTTTGAAAGGTGAAAAAAAAAAAGAAAGGCGTAGGCTTTATGACAAAAAATCAACTGGGTAATCAATAGAGTCTGGAAAAACACAATTCTTCAAAAGTCTATTTTCTTGGTATTGAAAATGAACAGTGGAGAACCAAAAAAAAAAAAAGAAGAAGAAGAAGAAGAAAGGAAAACTACTTACGAAAAGTCAAAATCTGGAGAAAAACCCCAGAAGAATACTCTTTTCCTAAAAAGAAAAAGCAAAACAGATCCATCCCCACACCTGTTTAAAAGGTACAACTACAAAACAAATCAAATAGCAATTGATTAAGCGTAAAAGGGGAGCGATGATGAGTACTTACAGAACATGATTGAGTACCAGCACATGATGATTGATGGATTTCTAATTTTTCTAGAACTAGGAAAATTATTGACTGATTTCGATAAGAATAAATAAAAAATAAAAAATAAAATAGAAGAAAGCAGGGAGTTGATAAAGGGTTAAGAGAGATGGCAGAGATGGCAGAGATGGATGTGGGAATCTGAGAATAGGAGGACAAAATGAAAAGGGGGAAAGGGGAAGGGATGGAGATTATGTAGGAAATCGTTTCTCCGTTTTCATCATGTGTGTATTTTGCATTGCATGGATCAACCGTTAGCATCATGATGATAAACTTTTTTCCTCCTCAAAAGCCTAGGTAAAAGTAAAAAGGCCATGGGTGTTTGACTGCTAGATGGGTCCAATCTGATGTTACGTCCGTTGGATTGTTTGACATCTCTCCCATCTGATTTTTTTACGGTATCTTGGATTTTGATTTTTTATTTTTTAATGATGATTTTTTTTTTGGGGGTAAAAGAAGTGTTTTCTTTTTTAACATATTTACAATTTGGGTGAGAGATTTGAATTTCAGTTTTTAAGTTGAGGGATGTATAAAAGATGTGTTTTATAGATTGACTTATAACCATTAGATTATAAGGTCTAAATACGATAACAAAAAGTTTTATGTAATTCGATAGATATAATTTTAATAATTGTGAAAAAAGTTTGGAAGAATGCTCCCTAAATGTGGTTAGGTAATTTTTGAATAATTTAAATTGTATAATAACAATATACTTGCATTGAAGGGAATAGAGGGAAAGTAATGGTAAATTTTTTTTTATTTAATTGTCAAAATAATTAAAGTAAATGAGGAAAGTGAAAAAATAAATTTATCTTCTTTTACTCTTCATTTTCTTTAACTTAAATATTATGTAAGACAAATTTTTCTTTTTTCTTTCAACTATTCACTAAATGAATAATTTTTTGTATTTCTATTAAAAATAAATTATCACTAAATTATTTAAATTTTATGTTTTAACAATAATAATTTAATTAAGCTCATTTTAATGTTCTAAATCCAAATCAAGAACCAAACTCAAATGATGAAGGTTGGATTCAATTGCAATCCAAAACCATTGACATGATCACCGAGTAACTAGAGGTAGTCTAGCTCATTCAAGCGAGCATGATAGGCTTTGATAAGCCTAGAGCAGCCGCAATGTCAATGCAAATAGCTCATCACTGGGCATTGGAGCAGTTGTATGTAACTGACATTTAAAGGGTCATTGATAAAGTGCACATTGACTTTGTCCATAGTTTTCAGTAAAACTAAGGGAAGGATTGAACTTGATCCTTCGGGTTAAGTGGCTTTAGTCACGTTTGTAAGGTTCATGTCCCCTCTTCAAGATAACTATTCGAGTCGGCCCTATGAAAAAAATGTTCAAAAAAAAAAAAAAACTAAGGGAAGGATTGCTAGGGAATGAAACTTTCCCCCTTTATGTAAGAAAGTTCAAAACATTTTAAAATTTTTATACTTCAATATTACAATAAATAAATAAAAATAGAAGAAATTCAGTTTTTTTTAAGAAACTGTTATATTCAAGATTTATAAATAGAGATGCCTTAGGGGAGATTTTTCTTATGAAGTTTGACCTATTTCGATTTTAGATTAATTGTAATATAATGTAATTTTCAAATATAGAGAGTTTTTATAAAAAAATAAATAATAATAAAAAAATTAAAAAATATAATATAATTTATTTTATATCAAATTACATTACACTAATCATAAGATTGGCAGTTTGGATTGTAAACAAGGTTCTCAAATAATATTTTATCTTCACTATTTTTTTTAGGAAAAAATTTTCTCCTTAATATTCTTAATGACTTATTGGTATAGTGATTTAAAATTAACAATTAATGGTTTCATTTAATCCAATAAATAAGAGCATTTAAATAATTAATAGTAGCAATTATTAACCATAGATTAGATAAATTTATAATTTCAAACTATTATACTAAACAACTCTCTAGTGTAAGATATACTAGATGCCTTTTTCTATCATTTTTTAATATCAATTTCGTAGTAAATATAAAAAATTAATAACTTAATAAATTTTTAATAAAATTTCATTATAAAATTTTTAATATAATAATTTTTTTTAATCAAAGAAGAATTAAAAAAAATTACAACTATTTTAATAAAAACTTAAATCTTAATAAAAATCAAAATATTTAATAAAACTTACCAACCCACAAGAGATTATCAGTGCCAGCATAATAATTTCTAGCTTCTAACTTTTCATACCTTTTAATAAAATCGAATTCTAATAAAACAACCAATAAAAGAACTATTAAATGGAATAGATCAGAAGATGACAAAGACAACATGTTGCCATGTTCGTAATTCAGTTAGGGGTACAGATCTCTTGGCGTCCTAACACGGCACCGTAGCAGCTTTGAGTCAAACCAACAAATCAAAGCACACATGACATGATCATTAAATCCATTCCAAACCCAAGACCTTAAAATAATAAATCAATTTATTTGGGGCCAGTACATCATTTCTCCTCCAATTCTCAAAGTCAGATGAACACCCTGGGCGTGTATGTTTGAGGTGAAAGTTTTTTCCCAAGTTCCTGATATTTGGATTCTTTGTAAGGTTATCTTTAAATTTATACGAAATATATATTTTTTTATTTTGATTGCATAATGAGATATAATTATCTTTCATCTTTTATTTCATCTTACTTGTTGCATATTATATGATTTTAATTTAGGATCCATTACTTTTAATGAAAAGAGATAAACATCAAACTATTTAAGTTATTGATAATTTACACGATATTATTATTATTATAGGAAGGATAAAATTAATATTTTTAATATTTATTTTTTAAAATAATTTTCAATAACCAATATTTTCAAAGAAAAAAACTTCTCTTAACTTTTCTTATCAACTTCTTAGGAATATAAAAAAGATTATAATTATAATAAAACTTCAATAAAATTTAAAAAAATGATGTAATTATAATATCACATAATATTATAAATTATTTATTCATAATATTTTATATATTTATTTTTTGAATTATAAATTTATAATATTATAAAAAATATATATCAGTTTCAACTCTTAATAAAATTAAAATTTTAATATTAAATTATGTAATTTTATTTGATTCAAGCTTAATTTAAAATTAAAAAATTTATCTTATTAAATATTAATATTTGAATTTAAAAATAAATTAAAATTTTAATTTTTAAATATATATTAAAAATAAAAATATAAATTGATACGTATTAATTTGAATATTATATTATAACTATATAATTACTAAAAATTTTGGTTAAACCCCCATTTTGGTCCCTCAACTATCGTACGGACCCCCGACTTAGTCCCTCAACTCAAAAAATCCCTGTTTTGGTCCCTACTGTTTACCATTTTGACCCCGATTTAGTCCCTCCGTTAAAAATCCGTTAAAAATCTAGTGACGTGTCCTTGATTAACAAAAGCACGATGACATGTCAACAATAAAATGACACCTCAAACGCACACCTGGAAAAAAAGATGACATGGCGGTATGACTCTGCCCCAAAACCAAACAAGAAAAAAAAGTGGGTCCCACCTCCTGCAAAACCTGAACCCTTCTCCCCCTTTCTTCCCTAAACCCATTCGAGCCTTCTTCATCATCATCAACCAACCAAATCC